TGAACAATGCGCAAAACTTCCTTCTTTAGGTGAAAACGAGTATAATGTTTCCGTGTGCGAATGTGAGGATTAATGCTTGATAAGTGTTGTGTGCCGCGGTGTTGGGAAACTTTTGCCGGAGAACCGAAGGTTCAAATCTCCTTCCCCACTGAAGAGCAATGGATTATGGCCATTCCGCAGAAAGTAGTTCAAGTTGCGAGCTCTTCGAAGGTATGTTCATTTGACATCTGTTTGTTTTATCCGTGCAATCTTGTACTTCCGAATTGTCAATGTGTTCAGAAGGACAATAGTAGACTAAACAACTGCGGCAACTTTTTTTGTATGCCTTAAAGAGGCATAGTAGTTATCTATAGAACGAATTACCACTTGCAAAGTGTTTTGAAATAGTTCGTTGGTTTTATCATGCGAGTCACCTGCGCAAATTATTTTCTTTATGTCCTTTGGCATTGGCCATCACCGAGTATGATTTCGCAGGCTGTTGTCCTAAACTCCTATTCTGACCTATGTAGGTGAATACTTCGCTACTGTGACTGTGAAAACACTTAAGAGCGAATACCGCAGAGAACATTTGGTTTTAGAGAAGACACTTTCTTATGATGCATGCAGTGGTTCATCCTCTGACAGATGCTTTAAATTCAAGGGGACTGCACATTTCAGCACAACAAGTCATCAGTGTGGTAATACATGCTGAAGTTGTTGCGAGCAAACTTGTGTCGTCCCAGCACATCGCTCAGTTTTTGCAGTTACGTGATCAACAATGTTTGCAAATAGAAAAATGATGCCTTGTCTGCTGAATTCAGAAAGCCACTCTCTGTTTTCCACAAATGTTAGCGTCGTTTAAAAATAAATATCAAGGATCCACGACACCTCTAATTGACACACTAAAACCCGAAACGGAGGCAAAAAGAAAGTTGTCTTATGATACGAACTATACATTTTTTCATGTTCATTCATTTCATGATGGCGATTGAACACGTAATTAATCAGACACATTTTGTGTCGTATTTGCTTGTTTCACTTTATAAAAACTACATCTTTTTTAAAATAAACCAAATGACTTCGTAAATAACGCACCGTCACTTATTTTCGTACATTTCAACTACAAAAGTGGCCCTCCAACTTGTGGTAGGAGGTCGAGAGCGTCCTGTTACTTTTATTTTATCTTTCAGAAAACAACCTGGAAGGTGCTATACGTAAAATACTATTTCACATATTGTCTAGCAGTGTGGTAAGTATGGACGTCAAAAATATATTTCAAACTAAAATAGTTATGATTGCAGAGCAGCGCTTTCCTTTAAAAATGATATTAAGTTAAATAATTGTGGAAAAAGTGTAGTCACTCATATGAGTTTTATCAGTCGTCGTAACTTAACAAACGAACTATAGAAGTTAGAGTTGTTATATAATATTCTAATCTTAAAATACTCTAGTCCGATTAATTACGTTGTTGTCACACATGGGAAAGTGACATTCGTACAATATTTCCAGTCAAAGCTACAAATGGTCCCGTCAGCGCATCGGCACAGCGAAGCCCATCGCCCAGCCGAATGCCGCTTTTCCGCTCGCTGGCCTAGCTACAGCGACGTCACGGCGCGGGCGAGCAGGCCTTAGTTTCTAAACCCGTTTTCACCTCAAGAATCGTTGTAAAAAAAGACCGGCACCTCGCGGAGCATTACTCATTTCCCCCTTTATGTTGATAATTAAGATACATGTAGGAGAATGTTATACTATTTATATGTTACCTTGTCAAGAGGTGCACGTTTCAAACTCCAAAAGCATCGAATTTCGTCCGTCAACCATATCTCGTAAGAAGTTAGAACTACTTCGCGCCGCGTATGAAGAATGGGCAAAACATGTTTTTTTTTTATTTTTTCTTGAGGTCTAAGAAGGTGTTGTATCACGCCGCGGTTAAAGAGCTTCCTACAAGAAGCGACATTCTTTGAAGTGCCGACTGCGTGACGGTGCAGGTTTTAGGGGGCGAATGGCGGCGAAGAAGAGAAGACTGAACCGAATGACGCCATTTTGTTTGAGCGGAATGTGTTTTGTCATCTGTATTGCTTCTCGTTACTTGTAAAAACAGATATCTAGGGGCTTTAGGCTATACCAATCCGGCACGCTGGATGCATCGTGACCTCGCACTTTTAGACTTGGTGTCCCTGTTTGTATGCTTCCCAGCATTTCACTGCGCTCTGACTTATGAGGTGTAATGAACCAAGTATAATCAGCGGAAACTGGCTCAGTGAGGCTATCGGGAGCGCTAGTTCGTTTGCTTCTTACGCAGGGGTTGCGGTGACGTCAGAATGCCGAGCTCCGATTGGCTCAGATTGGAAGAATAGTTAGTAGACCTCAAGGCAGCTAGCCTTGAGGTCTACCCTCTGTCAGAGCCAATCCGGGCTCGGCGTTCTGAAGTCAGTGCGACCCCTGCGCAAAAAGCAGACGAACTTGCGCTCAGCGTAGTCAGCTTAAGACAGGCAGGGTAGGGCTGATTGTGTCGGCGCTTCCTGCTTCGTGATTGGTTTATTGGCGTTCTCATTGGCCATTGGCGCGATTTGATTGGCTGCGGGGTAATATAATAGGAGGCTCGGGACTGAATGTGCCCTGCGCGTTTCATAAGACGTCAGGGGCTACGATGCTGCTCTGTAGCGTTCGCTCCTCTACGCCGCTTTGCTAGAGCAAAATCGTGAACTTAGGAAATAGATGGAAAGTTGATTTTTTTTTTTTCACAAAGAAAGCACCGGTTTCTAACGCCTGAATGGGCGGAGAAAAAGAAGTACCAATTCGAAAATTAAACTTATAAAATATTTTGTTTTTGCGAGTGTTGAATTGCATTAAACGCGTTGACGCGCAAACTTGAGAAGTGCAGTACGCATAACAACTTCCCATTGACAAAAAAAAAAAAAAAAAAAAAAGGACGGAAGAAAACCACTTGAAGACGGAAGAAGTCGAGACCTGGTGTGCTGTCGACAAGGTAGTTTCTTTCCTTGTTTGTATTTCTTTATTGAAAAAAAAAGTGCATCGGTTTGTTCTTCTCCACAACCGAGGCTACAGAGGAGGAGGCTGTTTGGAGGAGCACCAAATAAATTTTTCCACACTTGTGTTCCATAAAAGAAAAGAAAAAAAAATCCACGTTTTATATGTAGGCATATCTCCTCGAAAGAAGAAAAAAGAGAGGAAACTAAAATGAAAACACGAGACTCCCCAACTGCTTCCCTATATAACGGTCTTATTCGCAGCCACCCAGGTATATATACTATACATTGCGAAATATGAAACCAATATTGGATCCATAACGAATCGATGATGGGAATCCCCGCACTGGCTCGTGACCTCGTCGAGAGCTACAACCCCCCCCCCCCTCCTTTTCCTTAAAAAAAATAAATAAATAAAAAATAAATAAAACCCGTTGCCTCTTATGTTGCGCGGAATGAATTCTTCTGCTCTTTCGATCACAAATCGTAGTGTACGAAGTCGAGTTACCGAAATCCCGCGCGCGCACACGCAGCCATCCGAGACAGGGTAATACGTCTTCCCGGTTCGTAGTCTGCCGTGCTCCGTCCACCCCTAAGCTGACAGTGCGGTGCTGCCTACGTGTTCGTTGGACCAGTCATGCGCGCTGCCTTTCGCCACGTGACCACGCATGCGCAGAAAGAGGGGACGGGTGGATGGATGCAAGGGACGCCTGTGATTGGTCCGGCGATCGCGTAGCTTCCACTGCACTTTTGGGTTCAGGGGCGAGCGTAGTAGAGAATCATACATTGCGTGTTGTGATTCTGCGCGGAGCCCCGTGGTCTGTAACATTATTCTAGTAGTGCCGCTTCCAGTCAATAACCATTTTACGTGTTTGTCTGTGTCTGTCTGTCTGTCTTTCTGTCTGCGACGGCGTCTCTTCTTGTCCGTACATCGGGAATCCATTATTCAGAATCAAGAGGGGACCAGGAAACCTGATAAATAACTCAATTTACGATACAAGTAAGATTTAATATTAATAGTATAAAAGAGCTGCCTGGGCAGCGCAGTGACCAGTTCGGTGTGCGGTGAAAACGGGTGTGGTCACTGACACCTGACAAAAAAGTTAGAGTGAAGTCATGGCTAGGAATTAAGTTTGCGACGTGTATGTAATAACGTAGCTGGATGTCTAAATTTGTCGTGGAAGGCGTTTAATATTCGACACCTTTTTATTTAATATGTATGACGTCAATTTATGCGTTTTCTAAACGGGGTGTTATTTTGATTGTAGAGTCGTCTTGTGCCAGTTTGGTTGTATACAGTGCTTTGCGCTACACTTTATTCTCGCCATGCACGAAAGGACAGCCCATCGCCCAACACCAAGTTTGATGCCCATAATACTGTCTTTTTTTTCTTTGTCTGAGCACAGGTGAAGACTAGGAAAATCCGCAAGCATGTAAACCCGTACTGGAAACGCGCGGCCGTGAACTATGTTCACGGAAAAACGGTTAAAGTGCAAGCGAGCTGGCGTAAGTTATACATGATGATTGAAACCTGAGACTGTGGTCTGAAAAACCACAGTCTCAGATTTCATATTGATATAGTATTTCAGCTGGCCAGAATGTAAGCACGAATGAACTACGCTAGCAATGACGTGTAGGTTTCGCAATGTCTTTATCTACTCGGGACATGGTCATGACTTGAAAGTAAGACAGATTATTGGAAGCGAGCACTTACTCTTTATTATTTTCTCGTTTTAACTTTGTTTGGAGCCGGTGACAGTGTCATACTTCCCCAGACACCTCCGTGAAACGATCCCCACTATCCTAGTACCTACGACCAGCACTCGACTCATGTGGCGCTGTCCGCGCCCTCACACACGAATGCCACCTGTCTGCTCTCTCCGTGGATCTCGGCTTCGAATTTCTGGATATGGCTACGACTGTGTTCGGCTGCGCCTGGGATCGGTTGAAGTCCATGTTAATCTTAAATCTGGTCACGTGATAGTCCTCAGGGTTTTGAGTTCGTCCCCGAAACGCACTTCATGCCGCTTCTCGCGGTAGCGGGCCGAGCTTCTGCTCGCATCTCCTGCTACGGCGGGGGAGCTGTGAGGTCTTGCGGAGGTGACGTAATCCGTGACGTAATCCGTGACGTAGTCCGTAGCGTATTTCCTTCGCTACCGCGTCAGAAGATCCATGTTGGCTGCATAAAATGAAAAAGAAACGTTTTTTTTTTAGATGTAATAATTTTAGATATAAAGCTGTGGTTGGAATGATTATATTTCGTTTCACCTTAAGTGGAGACGCAGCCGACGCTACGAGCTAATAGGGAGTTTTCGTAGATCGTTTTCGCCGTCCCGCAACGCCCTCCGCAACCACTATACGTTACCCGGAACTCTACAGTCAAGGCTATCGGCGCGCAGGCGCAGTAGCAACTTCTTCGTTGCGGAGGGCTCAGCGGAGGGGGAAACGCGGTCTAGGAAAACTCCCTAATGAGACCAATCGTGTCTTCGGCACGACGTACGAGCAGTGAGACTGTAGCTTTGGGGAGTTTTCGTGGACCGTTTCCCCGCTCGCCTTACGGTCTCCGCAACCAGGAGGCGTCTACTGCGCATGCGCGCAGCCATAGCCTCGTCTGCGGAGTTCTGCATCTCTCTCAAGAGTTTGCGGAGAGTCGCGGGTTGGTGGAATCGATCAACAAAAACGCACTATTGCCTCGTGGGAAATCTAAAGAACGAGAAACCACTATAGTGAAAATACACAAAACATATATATTGGATTACTGCTTTACCGTGTTTTGTCACCGTTTTCTGCACTTAGTACCAAACTGATTGACAAGATTCGGCCTTTATTCGTGCTTAAATCTTGAGAGCCGTTCGTCCCAAAACCTACAGTACTCAAAACTTTAATTAAATTTATAATTACACGTATTTGGTCTAAAGACTTAAAAAACAATTTGAGTTATTTCTACCGTGTAAAAAGTACACACGACAGAGGCATTATCACGAATATGTCTTATTAACGCAATTTAGTTAACTATAAAAAAAGGTAACTGAATTTGAGTAGCCTTTCCAAACAAATCGAATCACGGGGGGCAGGCTCGTAAATATTTATTTGGAGTCCCTGTCATGGGCAAATGTCATATCCGAAAACCAAGGGCTTTGACGTAGAGACGTTGCTCAAGTCCGTCTATAAATATCTCGTTGGGCGAACCACTGACTTCTCCAAATATTGGGCGTATACGATCTTACGTAAGACCGACATCCAGATTTCCCAAAGGTTTCGACCCCGCCTACTCCCTCGCCCTCTTTCGTTTTCCTCTCCCAACGGTGGCAGACGCTGTGTGGAGAGCAAGTCGTCTGCCCCTTTTGCGGGAGTTCTATCCGGATCTATGCGGATCCGGATAGAACCGGATCCGCATAGATCCGGTTCTATGCGAAACCGGATCCGGTTCACCGCATAGATCCGGATCCGGATCTATGCGGTGACGTTAGAACGACGCCTAATTCTGCTTGACTCTGATTCAAGGATAGCGAGTAAAGGCCCGTTCACACTCTTGCGACCTCTTAAACCTGGGTTCCTTAAAACTTCTTAAACCAGAGAACACACTGGCGCCATCTATTGGGAAGCAGTGTAAACTCGGCGGTCCGGCGCATATTTTTTTTTTTTTTATTTCTCACGCGTTATCCTTTCTTTCTTGACTCGGGAAACTTTTTTCAATGTTATAAACGAGTCTTTCTATGGGTATTACGAACGTTTGACCTCGGAAATCACGCAAAACCTTCGCTCTTGTGAAATGTAGTTCCAGGGTCACCGCATAGATGGCGCCACAATGTCAGTGTGTTCCCTCATTCTAGAAACATTTAAGAAGTGGTAAGAGATCTCGTCTCTCTCAGTCGTACTCGGTCGCAAGAGTGTGAACGGGCCTTAAACCTCAAAGCCAGCTGCCTTGAACTCTACCCTCTATTCTTCAATCACAGCCATTCAGAGCTCGGCGTTCCTACGTCACCGCAGCCCCTGCAAAAGGAGCAGACGAACTTGCGATTCGCATAGAGGTGCTAGAGCTGATAATCATATCAGTTCCCGAAAAGCGATGAAAAAAAAAAAAAAGCAGTTCCTGCTGTCACGTGACCAGTGGGAGAAGACCAAAGAAGGAGTGTGTCGAGAATGATTTTTAGTCTGCGTGAAATATATTTTTCTAATAGCTTTTAAATGTTAACGCACACTGTAAAGTTTTTTTCCCCTTGATAACTTTCTGGTTTGGGAGAGGAGAACTCTGGATGGGATTTTTTTTTTCTCGCGGAAAGCAGCGTTGTACGTCGGCCTTTACCAAAAATAGCGATTTTACGCCTGATTTTAAGCTTTCCTTGGACATATCCGATAGGCTAACCCGTTTGCGGTATAGCTTCGCGGGGGAGTCACATTTTTGGCAGATGGCGGCTTACCCTGGTAAAACTTGTTCGTCTGCATTCCTGGACAGTCCTGAGAGAGAATCGAGAGAACACAAAGCACGCTATAAACGAGTTGTATGTCTGAGATTGATCAAGAATGACCTTTCACACTGCTCATCATCTCGCAAAGATTGCGATCAATTGTGAGACAACGTTCATTATTGACGCAGACCGCTTTCAGCCGTGCATGATATCAAGTCGGCGCATCACAGTGCCTATATCTCGCACACGTTAGGGGGCGATTGTGGTATTACATTCTTCTAAAGTACCTTATGGTGCCTGGAAGGTGCCCCCATTCGTACGCTTACTGCGTTCTCATTAGTGGTCCTTTCCGTGACGTCATTTGTGGCCACCTCGGGCCTCCTTTCGATGCATGGGTGGTCTATAGGGCGCTAAACACCCAACTCTAAGACGTGTTCCAGGTACCGCATAAAAGACAGACTGCGTTTATTTGAGCATATAATTGGGTCGGGGCATGGCACTTCATCAGCTGGGATCAGTTAGAGGTCATTTATAGTTGTACCCCAAAATGTTCATTAGTGGTGCGAACGCGGGTTTGTACCAACCTCGTTCCTCATGTCGATGTTGGTGCGAACGACGCGGCCGTGGAGCGGTTGCGTGGGCCTGAAGTTGTTTCCTAGCGGCGCCTTCGGGTGGAAGCTGTCTCCTTGCATCAGCTTCCGAGTGGCAAACAGCTGAGGAAAGCGAAACGAAGGCTTAAAAAGAAGTTAAAATTTGAACGAAGGAAGAATCGTCGTTTTTGCTGTGTGTGAAATAGACATTGTTTGTTTCCATGATGGTGATATGTAACGATTATATACTCGCAAGTGGCAATTTGGATACCTACGGAGGTGCGGCACAGGCAGCGGTAAGATATAGTTCGGCGTGAACCATCTTGGGTGCAGGAAGTAGAAAAGAAGTGGTTAACCCTTTTTTGTTGGGCTGAGAAATAAATAGATAAAAATTCATCGTAGTCAATTGGGTTTGATAGAACCGGGCCGGGCCGGACCGGGCCGGGTCAGATCAAATAAACTTTGGTCCAGTCAGGTCGAGTTGGCTCGCGTTGGGTCGGTTCGGTTCGGTTCAAGTTGAGTCTCGTCCAGTCGAGCCGGGTTTGTTGGGGTAGGTCCTCATCGGATTGAGTCGGCATGGATCGGTTCAAGCCGGTTCGGTTCGGTTCGGTTCCGTTCGATTCGGTTCGGTTCCGTTCGGTTTGGTTTGGTTTGGTTTGGTCTGGGTCGGGTCGGGTCGGGTCGGGGTCGGGTCGGGGTCGGGTCGGGTCGGGTCGGGTCGGGTCGGGTCGGGTCGGGTTGGGTCGGGTCGGGTCGGGTCGGGTCGGGTCGGGTCGGGTCGGGTCGGGTCGGGTCGGGTCGCCTTGGGTCGTTTCAAAAACACTAGATTGTCAGGTTGAACGTATTGGCCTTTGTCAGTTTTTTTATATACATTAACCCACTGATCTCTATGAAAATTGCTGGATCGCGCTTCCCCTCTCCACAAATGCGGTCACAAGAAAAATCGACCCTTTGGAGCGTTCCGGTGGCTGGCCGGCAGCGTGCGGAAGACACGTTTTTTGTTTGTTCGTTGTCATTCGCCGAAGTCGTTTTTCAAGACCTTGTGTAAACGGTGAGAATTGCCTTTGAGAACACGTGAACATTTTTACAAAAGCGCAGCACCGCAGGAAAAAAACACAACTCGTCGAACGCAAGTCTCGCCGTTCTCGCGGGGTGATCAAAGCTGCCTTGGCACGCTGAAGTGTTAATTGCGTCTCTGTGCCTTCGCAAGCTTGGATACTTATCAAAAATCGACGCCGTGGCAAAGTTTTTAAAGTGTGTCGCGCGTAGATGTCTTCTGGATCGCCCAGTTTTTTCCGGCGAGTTCCTATCAATAAGAGAAAAGAAATGAGTGGTTGCTATTATCCACAATTAGCCATGGCTATCTTCCAAAATCTACTCGAATGGATCACATGACAGAACAAATGGGGCAATGCTGTCGAGGAAGGTAGGTTTTCGAACGCAAAAGTATAAAATGGCTTGATCGAATTTGTTTTAAACGCGACCCATATGGTCGTGGGCTATCTGTCGCCGTCGCCGTACCTCCTAACTTTCTTCTGTCGCCACTGGATCAAACCCGTTTCTGGACCGCTAGTGTCGTAAGTTACAAATACAGTTGTAAAAGTAATGTAAAACGCTGCTCCAGAGGCACACACGTCTTCACGCCTCCCCCCCCCCCCCCCCCCCCCCCCCCCCCCCCCCGTTGCACTCGCAAAAACAAATCCACACGCCGTCGATTCTTGATCGGTATCCAAGCGTGCGAAGGCTGAGACGCAGCACTTCGGCGTGCCAAGGAAGCTTTGATCACGCCTCGAGACCGGCGATACTTAGTTTGACGAGTTGCGCCTTTTCCCGCGGCGCTGCGCTTTTGTAAAAAAAATTACGTATTCTCAAAGGCAACTCTCACCGTTTACTCGGGGTTTTAACGAACTTCTTCGGCAAATGACCACGAATGAGCATAAAATGTGTCTTCAGCACGCTGCCGCCCAGCCTCCGCAACGCTCCAAAAAGGTCGCTTTTCCGTGTCCTAAGATGGCTGTCCGGTGGTCGCACATGGGCTGCAGCGACCAAGCCGAGATGCGCTATCCAGCAAATTGTCATAGAGGTCAGTGCAATAAGCAGCCTTGGGTAAGTTACTTGTTAAAGGTAATTCGTTACAGTAGCAGTTACTTTCTAAAAAAGTAGCGAAGTTACCGTTACAGTTACCGCAACAAAAGAGTAACTCGTTACAGTTACAGTTACTTTTAAAAAGTAACGACGTTACTTTTCAGTTACCTTCCTATAACACAAAAAAAATTAAGAAAAACTAGAAAATGCCCTTCACTAAGTTTAATTGCATACAATTAAAAAGTACGCTTTTTACTTCATATTCTAACTTAGCAGAAGTTGCTTCTCGAAATTAGTGTTTGAAAATTTAGACGCCAGAGTAGTGGCGCAAATCAAAATACGAAACATGCGCAGTGCGGAGTACTGGCGCTAATCAAAATACGAAACATGCGCAGTGCCCTCCGCGTGTATTGTCGTTTCACGGTTGATTCACCCGATTAAAAAGCGTTTTCACAGAAAAAAGAAAAACCACGACGTCGATAGTGCTTCAAGACGCTAAGATGTGTTCACTTCCAAAGTACAAGCGCGTGCGTAATAATTACTAGATCTTTTTTTCTTTTTTATGAAATTTACACGTGGCTATATTCGGGTCGTGACTCGTGAGAAAGAACCAAAACGATTTGAAAAGTGCAAGGAAAATCTACATTGTACTCGCTCAGTGATATATTATTCATAAAACACTGGAAAGTAACAAAAAAAAGCAACGTCGTTACCTTCATCGTTACCTCAGAAAAAGTAATAGAACTACAGTTACAAGTTACATTTTAAAAAAGTAACTCGTTACATTTACAAGTTACCAAAAAGGTAACGAAATAGCAGTAACGCGCTACTACCCAAGACTGGCAATAACCTTACCGTCAGGTCCTACATCATACATAGGGGGGACAGTGAAGCTAAGAGGGAGAGACGGGGGTTGGGCATTACCTGTTGGCGCGTCATGTAGAGCGGCCGATTCATCAGTATCCAGGTGACCGTCTCCTCGCAGCCGGGCGTCGTGGCTGAACCCTCGTACGTCATGTAGCTGTCCGTCGCAGGCACCAAGTCCTGGATTGACACAGACTTCACCGGAACCTGCGACCCTAAAAGACGGGACGGGTGGAAGCTATTCACGACTCGGCTTTTCAGTACCTCGTGGTCAAACGCACTGCCACGCGGACACCCAGTGTTTATCTAAAGAAACCATGAAAACACTATTGTTTAGTGCGCCAAAATAAAACTGGTGCACGAGCGTAGAAAGCGCAAAGCCTGCTTTTTGGTAAGAAATTGTGAAAATATTGCGGTCAATTTTGTACCTCCTTTCCCTCGAAAGCTCTCCGCCTTTTCACTGGGATACATTCGCGGTACCAAAGCACGTCAGCCGAACACAGCTCACGCATCGAACACGAGCACTGCGTCATTCTTGGACGTATATATATGCGCTCGTCAGCAATCAACCCGTCGACGGATATTTGAAATCGCGTACGTGGCCAATGCGTTCTGTGACGGCACTTATCGTCACTTGAAAAGGACAAGTTCCATTTTATGCTTAAAAAGCACGATGGAAGCTTAGAGTCGTCGCTTCCGGTGTCCAAGCATGTCACGATGACGCGATTCTTCGTTTTACCTTTGAGTTGAGGATTAAAGCTAAGGAGAAAGAAGTCGAAAAAAACATTTCTTTGTCCGTTTAAGGTAATTATGCTTCTTTTTAAAGCAGGATGCTTTTATTGGCTGCGTTTAAATGGGGAGTAGAACTTTCATAATTGTGTAGTGTCTATGTTTATACAGCCGGAAGTTATAAGCCAGCTCTAACGGACGACTTGTCTCCAGCTGTAGATGAGCAATTTAGCCAGTGCAGTACAACCGCTAGCCTTGGGTCTTTAACGTGCACCACGCAGTAGCAATACACGACCGACCGCCGGTACGATGCTCATCCTCGAAACGGGTAGGGGTTCCTGAGTTCTGCAGCACGAGCGTTTCGCTCCACGTGCTCCGAGCTGAGCTGCGCTATAAAGAAAAAAAAAAAAAAACTTCGTTTCAGCTTTAATCCAGACGCAGCTGATGCTACAAGCGCGAGCATGTGGCCCTGAACAGTGCTTGCACTGCATGAGTGCGTGTTCATGGCAAGGACACTGGAAGTTCATGGCTCGCGCTTGTAGCATCGGCTGCATCTGGACTTAAGCTGATACGGAGTATAACACACTCGGCCACCAGTTCCGCTAGACCTTTTGCGAAATCACGTAAGAACCAAGGAGCGAACGTGAGCGTAGTTACACGCGCTGTGTTTTCTGGCGTCTGCTGCAGTGACTTTTCTAAAGCAAAGACTCAAAACAAATGACACTCAATTGCACGCTCATTCATCAACGCCTTATTTTGGTTATTTACTTGGAACCTTTAACGCAGACGAGGAGAGCTATAGCCTCCTCTACACTGACAAAGCCTGGCAGATCGCCACGAGAAGCGGCCGCCGAAATAGAAGAGGTACAGCGGCAGACAACGGATGAAAGGAGAGCCACGTGACGGGCGCCCTACTGTGTCGAGACGCGGAAACACACTTTTTCCGAGCGATGGAATGTCCGCTCGTGTTCCTCGCGTTCCTCGCGCTACCGCTTCTTTTCTCGATTTCCGTCGATGAGACATCCTTTGCTGACGTCATAGTCAGCGTTCGGCTAATTGTGGTGGGTCTACCACAGCGACGCTTTCGGTCGCTCACGTCGCTAAAAGCTGTGTTCGCGACTGCTGAACGCGTGCTCACGGCGAGCTTCCGCAGTTCTTCTTGCAACGTGCTTTCCGCACCGCCAAGATTCGGGGTCCTTGCAGTTTATTAATATGAGCGATTAAAATGGCGACCAGTGAATGGCGAGATGTTCTGGTAGCGTCCTCCTATGGTTCCTTATATTGCGAACAACAAGTTCGGTGGTGTTTGCAATTAACACGGTGGAAGCTTGAAATCATTGCTCTTTAAAACCAACGCTACAAAATCATCAAAATTGAAGTTCTTGCATTAGTGTTATTCCTGTCGACGAGAAAACCTTTGCTGACGTCATAGTCAGCATTCGGCCAATCGTAGAAGGCCGCACGTCACCAAAAGACCCTTTCACAAATTCAGAGAAGAAAACACAAAACATAGCGGTGACGTTGTCCTTTAAAAGCATGCAAACAATACCCAAACCGGAAGTGTTTCCTGCTCCCTGTGATGGTGGCCGAAAGTGACCTGAATACCATGTATATTATTTGTTTTTATTTTCATTTCGAATGAGTACAATTCAACCCCACCGCAATCGTTACCGTCAAGTCGTTAAACGGAAGGGATGTAACAATTTGTAGGTGAAAGTATTCGCGCCAACATTCTACGTTATATGAATGAAAAGTAGTGGTTGGACTTTTATTAATCGGGGGGTAGCTTGGGCCAGCTGCACTCTAAGACAACTGGAGCGTGCACTTCCCCGCAAAACGCCTAGAAAAGCCGAATCGCAGCAATCTACGGAGGTAGTTCGGTGAATGACAAAAATAAAATACCTTGAGACCTAAGAAAAGAAACAATCTGCGCTGTGACACTGGACAGGGTGAAACATTACGTTCGACGTAACAACCCAGAGTGTTTCTTTCCGGCATAAACATCTTTTTATTCTCCCGCGACTGGCTTTCTCAAACGGTTTGTGGGAAAGCAGACGACACAGATTTCTTGGAGTATAGGTGGCGCAGGCTACCGTCTGATTCAAAAGGGTTTAGCCACTATAGCACCCATTCGTCACAGTTCAAATGCCTACGCAAGTATTCTTTTCGGTACACTGCTACAGCGTTCCAGCACACCGTGCCGAAGCGGACGTCGGGATGCCGTTCAGTCGATACACATAAGCGCTAGCTTCGCAGCTACACGTTGCAAAAGCCATCACGAAAGCGGCAAAAACCCATCCGTCCCAACCCGCATTACAAATCAAAGAAAACACAAGCCTCCAAGCGAGTCCACTCCGCGAAATGGAAGCGCTTACACTCGTTACGGCGTTAGGAGCAGTGTGCTCAAGGGACCTCCCCTTCCATCCTTGCCACCGCCAAAGACGCGAGGGTATAAGGTGAACTCTGCTCTGGTGCCAGTTATCGAGAGTAGAACTAAGCCCCATAATCTTCTTTGCTCGCTTATCCTGCGTAAGTAAGTTCTGATCGGCATAAAGAAGCGCTTCTTAAGCCTCCCCCCCCTCACTTTTCCCAAACCGAAAGGGAAAGAAAATAAACAGGTAAGGAGGACAAACATGCGATCGTTTCGGCAATGGTAATGGGAACCGATTCGGAGGAAGCAATTCGTATTAATACACTTACATTAGGATCATCACCTGTCTACAAGCAAACACACCAAACATTGGACAGCGATAGAAAACGAAAAAGGAAACAAACGCTCCGAATCACCTTAAGTAGCACAGCAACATAAAAAACACGCCGTTCTTAAGAGAAACAAAAAAAAAAAAAAAAAAAAACTGCCGCGTCACCAGTACACAAAAAGCGCTTCTTTTTTTCCCCCCGTGCTCTCTCACGGAAGGTAGTGCATCTCCACCAATTCCGCCTTCCGCGTCAATCTCCCAATCCTCGCAAAACCCCAAAAGGATCGAGACCGTCCCAAGACACCGAACACGGGTTCGCTCTCTCTCTCTCTCTCTCTTTCCCTCTTCCCCAATTATATTTTCTTTTCCTCTCTCTCTCCCTCTCTCTTATGTATTTCTGTTCTGTCATTTTCTCCGCTCAATCCGGACCCTACGATGGGCTCGTTCGGATGGCGCCAGGAGCCGTCAAAGCCATTCCCATCCAATGCCGCGCAAGTGTGGCGCGTCCTTCGGGAGAGACGCAGCGCGACGCGCCACGGAACGCTTGGTCACGTGACGCTGGTCACGGGGCTGGATTGGCTGAGATAGATTGTGGCCTCCTCTGCGGTCTATACCAAGCTGAAACGGTGTGTATTTTTCCGGCCGTTCCTGTTGTTATACACTATATTCCGTCTCACCGTAACGCGGTAAACAGCGAAGGCTACAGGCGCGCGCGAGAGAGGGAGGGGAAAGATGCTTTTGTACGAATTTTGAATCACGGGCTCATCACCGAGGGGTACAAAAGCGAAGTTTGGGCCGCACGAAACCGGGACAAAGAGAGGAGTTCCTCCTTCCCCTCATCTCCAACAGCTCGGGTTACGTTCTCGCCCCTGTACACTGGGTAATCGAGGGTTGTCACGTGCTTCCTCTCCGTCGTTCTGATTGGATCGAAGGGACCGTAAAGCTCTTCGTTCTTGGCCAAGTTAAACCTAGTATATCGTCGCTTATTTAACTTTACATGTTCCGCTTGCCTCTGCAGCAGCCTTATACGTTACGCGTGGGCATTGCGGACATAGGTTTATGTCGCAGCAATCGCACATCCTGGTGGCTCTCTCTGCCTCCCTCTTTCTTCCTCTCGTTTTCTCTCTCGTTATTACTCTCTTTTTGTGTTTTTCTTTCACTGTGTTCTCCATCTCTCTCTTCTTCTTCCTCTTCTCTATCTCTCTCTCTTCCTCCCCCTCTCTCCCTCCTAAACACGCTGTCCACAGACGCTGGCCCCTCCACAGAAGAAGCCAAGCGCGCAATCCGAGCCGAGCTCGCGACCAACACGGCGCTTGCCGGCCCGCCGACACTTTGGGCGCCCCCGCACGGCCGGGCTCGTTTTCCCCTGCGGCCGATTAAGGGCCGGGCCTCATTACCCGTCGATGGCTACTGCCACTAGTGCGGACCCGGACCGCTGCGCCCCTGATCGCCTCCCAATTACGGGGATTACCCGTCGCCGCCGCCGCCGACGCTCGCTCGGACGCTGGCTCCGATGGGCCAGCGGCAACAGCGCTCAACATGTGTCGGTCGCCGTCCCGATCAGAAGAGGATGCTGCGAGGCGTTAGACTGGCTATCTCGGCTTGGCTTGGCTGGGCTCGGATAAGGTCGGCCCGGTTCGATATAACGGCTGGCAGACGGCTATGGCAATCCGGCTTGTTACATGTATAATCAAACTTGCGAATATTTTCGAAAAAAAAAAAAAAACTGCTGCCGAGTAAACTCTGTTGTTCTTCTGTTTAAGTAAATTGATTGTTTTTCGCATGAT